GGCATGTGAATTTCTATAGAGACAAAGAGAAAGAAAATATATATACTGCCAACAATAGTTTATAATACCAGTTAGAAGATTGGACATGGTCTCTAGTTACCTGACTTTTTCTTTGTAGAGAGCTAGTATGGTATTCATGTGGTATGTGGTGTGTGGTCTATGGTGTGTGTGTGTGTGTGTGTGTGTGTGTGTGTGTGTGTGTGTGTGTGTGTGTAGAGGTTAAAGAATTGCTGATGGAGGAAAAGATGTAAAACATACTAGTATCAGTACCAAAAAAATGTGTCAGTGTTATGTAATGTACATAAAATATGTGCTAGAAGATACAGAAACATATTTTATATGTAATTTCCTTATTTTCATACTTGTGTATGACTGCAGGGTATGCCAGGAGGTTAAGAGAGCCACAGAGAAACATGACACATCCCTTGGGAATACATATTTTTCTTGAAGCATTGATGGTGACTGATGAGCAAAACTCAATTCTGATTCTTGTTCCATTTGTTGGTTTACATTAGAAATGATTGAGGGGTACCCATGTGGAATATCTCTACCCAAGAAAATGTGATATGATAAATCTTGAAGGATTTCTAAGGGAAAAGGATGTGGCTGGTGTCAGTATCTTACCTTTTTCCTTGCCTTGGGCAAAGATATACACTGGAGTTTAATAAGCCATCTGCAACCGTGATTTAAAAAGTTTACACGATTAGAGTGATAAAGCATAAATGGAATTTTTCCTTTTATGAAGTCGAGACCCTACACTATTCCTAAATTTCCTTTCTCTCAATTTCATGTTGTGAGAGATTTTTTAAAAAAAGGAGAAAACACTTGTTTAGTAAATTTTATTCAGTTGATTCATTATCCGTATTCTTTTCTTGTAGCTGAAATTCTCCTGAGTAGTACACTTAGAAGTTAATTGATTTAACTTTGAATTTGAACCATTTTATATTATATAAAATGTTAATGTTATAGAGTAGAAAGAAACATTTACCATTTTTTTAATTACAACAGAGGATTTCTAAAATATTCCACCCTTATTGAGGGCTACTTCATAGCATACTCCAGATACTTGGGGAAATTTTCTACTTCCCTTACCCATATAAGGTTTACCTAGCTATAATAGTAAGAGTGTTAACAAACAGAGGCATTATCTCATCTCAACATTGGACATGCTTCCCACAGTCAGATGATAATTGTCTACCTGTGTCATTTTTATCTTATTATTATTGAATTAATATTAGTGTAATTAATACTGATACATATTTGGGATCAATCATGATAATGAAGTACTTTGGGTGAGGTCAAAGTGAAGTGAAAGTCAGAGAGAGAGATAGAGAGAGAAAGGCTTTAATCATATGCAAAAAACATCAGAGAGAGAAATTGGTCAGTAATGAATCTGCATAGCCAGAAGTTAGAGAACAGAAATCGGAGCTAGCTAGCCTACACATTATGGGGCAAGAAACATCAAGGAAATATCAAAAGCTTTCTTCCTTTTGAAGCTGTGTCTTAGGGCTGGAGTTGAGCCTTGTCTGGGTTTCAGAGAGCCCCATACCTATAGGTCTGAGGAACAGCATGTGGCCTGGAAGCTGGGGTCACCCCTCCTCCTGCAGAGTTGGAAGCGTACTCGAGTTAATGATTGCTAACACTTTCCTAGGCTATATTTAATTTATACCAAAGCCTGATTTTGTACCATTTCCAGTCACTACAATTCAAATTTTTGCTGTTTAGAATCTTCCATTCCAAGCATGACAGAGTAATTGGTACTGGAATGGATAGTCCTGTCTAAATAGCTGTAAAACTGGGGACAGTATATGAGACAACTGTTTTCAGGCATTAGACAATAGACCATACAGGACTATGATCCTTTAGAGAAAGGAAGCACACCTTCCCACTAGTTTTCTTCTGAGGTCACTTATTGGCCACGATGTACAGGGAGGTAGAGAGTAGGCAGAGCACAAAGCTCTGCCCAGGAAGCAGATATCATATTTCAAGTCTCCTAACGTGGCTAGAATTTATAGGGCAGATTATCAGACAAAGGGAGCTACACAGAAGGCAATCCAACAGTCTACATTGGGGTTTCCTGCAGGGGTTTGGCAGAAGATGAAGTTACATACAGGCAAGGCAAGAGTCAATGAGACATGCATGTCAGGAAGATGCTGGACCAGCCTTATCAAGAATATAGAAACCTCACTGTGCATTTCCAGTATTCAGCTAAGACTCCCATAGAAGCCACTTCTTAGGAGTTAAGGACCATGTCTCAAGGGCATCATTCCAGGCTAAGGATAAAAGTGAAATAGAACAAAGAATAAAACCAATCTTGACTGGTTTGTAATTTAACTGCCTGCCAGAAGGAATCTCAACACTCTTTAAAGCAAGGATTGACAAACTTTTTGTAAGGGGCCAAATAGTATATATATTTCAGACTTGAGGACCACAGTTTATATTACAATTAGTCAACCCTGCTTTTTTACATAGAAAATAGCCATAGACATTACATAAATGAATGAGAGTGGCTGTGCTCCAACAAAACATTATTTACAAAAATATGGGTTAAGTAGATTTGATTCATAATCCTAATTTGCTGACCTCTGCCTTAAAGGAAGACAATATAAACCAGACACCCTAAAACATATCCGTGATATTCAGTGTAAATAAATATTGTTGTTTAGCACAAGGACTCTCACTTTTAATCTTTGGTGTGGGCCAAGTGGCAGGAGTCAGTTAGGAAAGAATCCCTAACCCCTAACTATACAATGGAGTGCCAGATATTTGGAGGTCATTAGTTGACATTAATGAGTATCTTTATATAAATATAAATTATTTTTATAAAATGTTTTAATATTAATAAGACACATGTTTACAGTTAAAATATCAACTGTCAATGAAATATTTCAAACAAAAATTGTGTTTCCTAACCAACATGTCCTATCCTGCAACTTTTTCCAGAAATAACTATTTCATTTCTTTTGATGTTTTTTGATGATAGTTATTTTCATGTATCTGCATTATTTGCCTATATACTATTTCTTGGATTATCAAATTTAGTCATTATCTCTTTATATTTTCCTCTTACAGGTGAGATTTGGGCCCTCCTTCACAAATGTCATCTATTTTGATTTTTCCCAGACAATATACTGCCATTTTTATTTTCAATCAATAGTCACAATTTTTTTGTAATTAAGCAAATATTGATAATTAACACCAAAGTATATTCTCTAGTTATATTTTCATTCATATACAGCTTTTTGTTAGTATTATTGGAGTTATTCTTGTCTTTCTTTTCCTCTTCCAGAACTTTATTAGGATTTTTACATTTTATTCAAAAGATGTGTAACATCAGCTATTTTGCTGAATTCATAGTTTACAGTATGTGTATGACCTTTATTTTTATTTTATTTATTTTTATTTCTTTTCTTTTTAAAGATTTTATTTATCCAACCGTGAGAGACACAGCAAGAGAGGGAACACAAGCAGGGGGAGTGGGAGAGGGAGAAGCAGGCTTCCCGCTGAGCAGGGAGCCCGATGCGGGGCTCAATCCCAGGACCCTGGGATCATGGCCTGAGCCGAAGGCAGACGCTTAACAACGGAGCCACCCAGGCACCCCTATTTCTTGTCTATATCTACCAAAAGCTTCATTGTCCAATTTGGACTATTTCTTCTTTAGACCTACTCTACATCATTGTCTGGGTATTACCTTAAATTCTCTTGATGAATCCATTTGCTAAGTTCCATTTAATTTTCTTTCTTGTTTTAACTTCCTTGTTTATTAGAGAATAGTAATCACAACTTCCTAAGAAAGCATCAGGCTACAAACAAATTTTGAGGGATGTGTTTTATCTCATCAATTTAAAGATAAGCTTTTTTTTTAACATATCTGGAATTAAGATGCATATTTAGAATTGGTGGTGCCTTACAACTATTCTCAGCCAAGCTGCAGTATTAATACAGAGGTATTGTTAGTACGTGCTTTGAACTTACTCCAAAATCCATCTGCTGATATTTTCTTGTAAGATAACAAGGTACCAGGATCAAAATTTATCTAATGAGGGGAGCTTGGCTGGCTCAGTCAGCAGAGCATGCAACTCTTGGTCTTGGGGTCATGAGTTCAAGCCCCATACTGAGCACAGAAATTACTTAATAAATTATCCAATAAGAGATAGTAGTTTTGCAGCATCACCATTATCTTGATGTCACAGAGAAGTGTTGTGTAGGAAACCAAAGACATTATCGTTGTGATTATTCTGAGCCAAAAACAATCCAGAAGAATCACACCCTAAATGTAAAGAAATTTTAGAAATACTTTAACCCTCTCAGTCAGGATTGGCCACATTGTACTGGAGAAACAGTCTCCAAACAGCTTGTAGGTTATTATACCAAATATTTATCTATCATAAATATTCATAAAATTATTCTGCACAAAGCAGCAGTTAGGGTGTTTTTACGTTATGATTCCATTATCTTACCTGAGTCTACCTCAATAGTCACTGAAGAAGTAGAGAATGGAGAATGGAAAATCTAACATATGTGGATTTTCACAGCATTAGTTTTGGCTAGAAATAATCACATCGGCCCACTTGAGTGCAGACAATCTAGAATGTGATGCCTTTATTGTGGGAAATGGAAATAAACTTGATATTGATGAACACAAATAATGTCAATCACAGTCCACTTCTGGTCATCAAATATTTGATTTATTCCAGACATTGATAGAACCCTCCTCAAGGAAGGCAAACCCTGAATACCATTCAATCCCAAGTTAAGAGTTCAAAGGGCAACAGCTGTAATATACAGTAATTTTTGTATCTTTTTTAGACAAGGTCATTCTTGATCTGAGGACCCATGAACAAAAACACTAAACCAAGAAGAAAAATTATCCATCTTTCATATCCCTAATACCAAAATTCAATTACCTGTTCAGCAAGAGGCCACATAAAGACATATGACCACTGGTCCATACATTATGAAATCCTATGTGCACCGAGTATTCCAGTTCTGGGGAGAGAATGTTCTTGTTTTCTGTTTAGATGCTGATTTTGTTCTCTGTGAGTAGCTTCCTTCTTTTTCCTCTGGAGCTGTTGGTTTCACCCTGTGGGAAAGAGGTTTCTTTCTTTTTATTATATTCCTTGGCCAATCTGAAGTTGATATTGGGAAATATGCTTTCTTTGAGGACTTTCTTTGTCTACTGATGGCTCAAAAATTATTTAAGATGCTATCATTTTTAAGGTACCTCATAATTACCAATTCTTTGTCCAAAATCATTGTATCAGATTTACTAAACTCAACACCTTTAGTCTTATTGGTATAATAGGGAAATTTGCTCAGTTGAAATTCTTTATTGTGTGTTTCCTTCTCGTGCTTTCTCAAACTTATTTACTCTTTAGAATGGAAAAGCATCTGTCTTTTCTACTTCTACAATTCCCTGAACTTCTGGACTTTTTTTTTCTTCTCATATGTGCATACAAATCAACCCATTCTTTACCATGCTCATTCAATTCTGGTGATACCTAGCAAAAATACCATGGATAACAATCAAAGCACACTGCAATTTCAATAAAAACATAATCAACTTCCCATGGTAGCATATGCAGTAATGTTAGTGAATGTTTTGTCACTGAACCATGGAACGCCATCACTTCAGCCCCTCATCTTGGTTCCTTCACCACTCACTGCCCACCACGTATTTTAGGTTTTGTTTTTATTTTGTTTTGTTTTTACGATTTTTAAAAATATATTTATTTGAGAGAGAGAGAGAGAGCACGAACAGGGCAGGGGAGAGAGAGAAGCAAGCTCCCCACTGATCTGGGAACCAGGTGTGGAGCTCAATCCCAGGACCCTGGGATCATGGCTGAGCCGAGGACAGACGCTTAACTGACTGAGTCACCCAGGCACCCCATATTTTAGGCTTTGTATGCCATTGCCCTACTGTTGTGCTAATTTTTATATTTATCAGAATAGGATATGTTAGGCTGTAGTAACAGCATTTCAGTGATTTAAGGCAATACAAATTTATTTTTCATTCATGCAAATTCTTTTTTAAGTGTAGCTCACTTTTTGGGGCAACTGTCTTCTGTGTAGTGAATCAATAGCTCAAGTTGCCTCAAACCTGTGGCTCTAACACTTTTGCATGAAGTTTTGTCCACTATTGCTGTGGCTGGGGAAGAGAGAAACTGGAGAGCCATGACTGAGCTTTTCACTACTTCAGGACAGAAACTTCACATTTCACTTCTATTCCCATTTTATTGTCAGGTTTATGGACATGGCAATAACCCACAGTATGGGACTGAGGATCTTAGCCTTTCATGTATGCAGAAATGGAAGAGAATGGACATGTGTAAGATCTATCACTTAAACTAATTTAATTTGGCCATATCTTCCTTTCTTTAAGGATAAAAATCTGTTTCTAAATAAGATTAAGAGATTTGTCAAAGGGTACAAAATAAGCATTCTGTGTGATAATAAAGCTTGTGTCATAATTCTCTTAGCAGTTTCTTTATTCTCTTAGTTATACATGAAAATGGCATCTCTTACAACCAATGACATCATAGACTTGATGAAAAATAGTACCGATAAATGTATAGAGATAAATATCCATAATAGAATTTTTTTATTTTTTTAAAAAAATTTATTTATTTATTTGACAGAGAGATAAAGAGACAGCACAAGTAGGCAGAATGGCAGGCAGAGGGAGAGGGAGAAGCAGGCTCTCCGCTGAGCAGGGGGCCCGACATGGAGTTCGATCCCAGGACCCCGGGATCATGACCTGAGCCCAGGGCAGCCCCTTAACCAACTGAGCCACCCAGGCACCCCCCCATAATAGAATTTAAATAGAATTTAAATGTGTATTACAGTTGCAGTATGTAAAAACCAGGTCAAAAACCGTGCAAATTTTGGGGCAGCTGGGTGGCTCAGTCAGTGAAGCCTCTGACTCTTGATTTCAGCTCAGGTCATGATTGCAGGGTGCTGAAATGGAGCCCTGCTTCTGGCTCTGCGTTGAGCAGGGAGTCTGCTTAAGATTCTCTCTCTCTTTCTCCCTGTGCCCTTCCTCCTGCTCACACACACTCTATAAATAAAAAAATAAAATCTTTTAAAAATGCAAATTTTTTCAGTATATGCATTTTTATGTCTTGTCTTTCTCACTTTTTAAAACTTTACTAATTCTTTCATCAGTAATGATCCTAAGTAATTCCCTACATATCAAATCACTTATTATTATAATAAATTATAAGAAAACAATATTTGGAAGACAAAATCCACTAAACATAAAAATATTGCCTGTACAATTAGAAATTTTCCCAGAAATCTTTGAGCAATCTGTTTAGTTACATAAATTTGCAGTGAGAGTTTTGTAACTGTGAAAAAACGCCAAAATTCAGAATGGAATACTTGTCTGATTTTTTTAGCAGCATGTATGAGTCACAAATGGAAATAATCATTGATATATATAAGCCATTAAGATATGGAAAATAAAATAATAATAATACTAACAATAATTCATAGAATTGTCTATAATGTACTTGGAAGAACAAGAATGGATTTGAATTCTTTTAAATGTTAAAGGCTCATGAAAAGAAAATTTATTCCCACCTGTGTGCCATGATCCACAGTTTGAAGATACTGGATGAATATAAGTCTGATTTACTTCAGTTTTTCTCATACCTGCTTGTGCTCCAGAGTCCCTTAGGATGTTTTCATAGAAATCAAATAACATTAATTCTAACACAGGGCAGTGAAATTACAATCTCTGGAGCTGCACATAGCCACTTATAATTTTTAGAAGCCCTATGTAAATCTAATGTGAAGTTCGTATTCAACAAAATCCCTGATGTTAAGAAGGCAACAAAACAATCAGCATAATCAACAAAATAACACTTTCTTTGAAGTTAAACTATACTGGGTTTGATTATTTCCTTTCATATTTGACCATTTTTAGGCAAGCCACTGTAACTCTACAAACTTTAGATTCTTCCTCTATTAAACAGCTGATGGCAATTTCTACCCCATACATTGCTTTGAATTTTTGTCAAACTGGCATTACTCCCCGTGATGTTCTTTATAACGTAGAGAGAAGAAATCTGGAACCATGTTTGTCAGCATCTCCTTCCTTCCCTCTGTGATACCTAGTCAGAATGACAATAACACAAACTCCTGTTGAAATTGGGCAAGGGAAACAGAAATAAATGATGTGATTCCTGAGAGGTGGTCATATGTGTGAACAAATATGAGATTCACAGAGTTTGGGATTGCTTATCTACAATCTGCTAGGATGCTGTTGACAGAGAGAAGGGATGTTCTTGAGGATCGCAGCAGGTTCTTTTGAGAATCACCTGCTCTAATAAATCCAGTTAAGGGCCTCAGTCTCTACTGATTTGACCTTCTAGCTGCAGCTATGTTGGTCCTTGTTGTGTTCTATACTGATAAGTGTTTTCTACCTTTCTCATTTCTCTCATGTAAATCCTAATTCCTGTGTTAAAGTCTTTTATTCTGTTTTCCTGACTGAGTCTAGTAATACAGCATTTATGAGGGAGTTTGAGAAAATAGCATCATCTTTGATCACATGGTCAAAAATGTTTGGAGATAACAGCTTTGTAGGACAAAACCCCAATTCCCTAATGTGGTCACTCTTCTTCCTGGCAAGGTTTCTTGCCAGTACTTGGAGATTGGGGAGAAAAAAAAAGGCAAGCAAGCATGTGCAATATATACCAGTGATATTTGCATTCAGTCACCTGTCACCAGTTATGGCCTATCCACCATTATGCTTTGCTATGCTTCATTGTTGTCAGAGAGAGACAAACAATAATCTCTAGCTCCTCAACATTCAATTTGGCATAGAAATCTTCTCAATATTGTGTCAGCTCCCTAGAAAACTCCGCATAATGGATTGTCTTACTAATTGTAATAGTAAAGTTCCCACTAGATACTTGTTCAATACTCAAAAAGAAATTAATTTAAAATCAAACTAAACATGTATTCTGAGGCCTGAAAGAAACATAACTATAATCTTAACAAGGGCTAATGAAGTTCCCTATATTTCATATTGCTCTGTTAACTATTAAAACAATAACTTTCTAATTTGGTCAAAGCTTCATCTAGGTTATTTCTAGACTAGCCCCTGTAGCCAATGCTAAATCCCCACAAGTACTACAGAATAAATGAAAGAAAATATATTCACTTTGCACCCAGGAGCAGTGATACTATCAGAATATTATCAAATATTCAAGTTGGTTACATTTTTTTCTGTTTTTCATTTACTTCCCTCTCTTTTACCTTTTATCTCACTTGTATTTGTATTTTTAAAAGACAGGGAGCAAAGTCGAGAAAGAAAACAAATTGATTTTTAAAAATAATAGCCCTTGTGGTGTAGTACAGCACTTGGGCTACTATATTGTTAGCCAAAATAAATGTATCAGTTTCATAATTAGAACAATTTTGAACTCAGTTTCAACTGAGTCTCCAAGAAATAGAAGTCACATTCCAAAGTCTGTCATATACGACTTGCAAACGTGGGTCAAGACTCCTCACTTTTTCATTAGTCCCTTCACCCATATTTTAGAATATAAATTTCAGGGGCTGGAATTTGAGAAAAGTACTTCTTTGTAAAAAAAAATAATAATAAGTTGAGTTTTGTGTACTTTTCATTACTTCCTCCCAATGTGAGAGAAGTTATATTAAGATTCTCTTAATTTCAAGTTGAGATAAAAATTTTTCAAAGGAAACTTGAAGATTTTATGTATCCTATGAATTTTTAGGGACACCGTATTCTCGGTTTTGCCTTATTCTTGAGAAACCAAGAGAGCACAAGCCTGGCTACATAGTTTTTCTGAAATGGAAGTAAAGGCATGTTGCTGCATCTATGGCTTTATGTGTTAACAGCCCTTTTGTTGGGGTAAATACCTTGTGTAAAAAATGATGTCCAGGAAAGAAAATGAGTCAGTACGGGGTGGATTGATGTGTCATTCAAGAGGACCATTTGTTTTGGCAAGCTAATGCCAAATTCCTAAGTCCGTAAAAGTAGCAGTTAAAGACTAGCTAGGCATATATTCTTTCATATCAAGGACATTGTAAATGGGAAATTCCAGTTTGGGGATG